CCATTATCAATAATAGAAATATATTTTCCCTATTATGGTATTAGAGGGCATTATATCAAAAATACCCTTAAAATGCTACTTCAACTTCAATACCTACCCTTGTGACCATGTGACCAATGTGACCGAAATATAGTGTGGTCACATATTGATCTCATTGTTCATAACGTTAAATTTATGATGTTTTAATCAAATGATTAGTAAGATATACAAGGTATGAACATAATGAATTAGTGTGATCATCATAAATTTAACGTTATAATCGATAAAAATCAAAATGTGACCATACTATATTTCGGTCACATTGGTCACATGTGACCAGGGTAGGTCTTGAAGTAGAAGTAGCATTTTAAGGGTATTTTTGATAATGCCCCTATTAGATCATGCGGAATTTCAATTTAGAAACAAGTTAAAAAACTAAAATAAGTATTAAGATTATTCATTAAAAAAATTCCTTATACTTAATCGTATAAAATTCTTCGTTTTAAAAAATCTTTGTATAAAAAATTCAACCAAAAAAAATTCTAATGTTCTTCATCCATTTAATTTAAAATTAATCGTATAAATTTAATAATGAATTTTAAAATTTAAGAAAAACCCAATACATATAGTTAATAACTAAAATTAAAGCTTGTTATTTTTTTAAAAAAAAATTGGATGAAAATCAACATAATTAAAATGTAACAAGTACCCAATTTGCAAGATGGTTCAGACAATCTAAGTAAACATTGTCACATCTTCCTATAGCATTATAGAGTGGGGGTCCAAATAAAGAAACCATCTCAATTCCAAACTTTATTATTATTATTATTATTATTATTATTATTATTATTATTATTATTATTATTATTATTATTATTATTATTATTATTATTATTATTATTATTATTATTATTATTATTATTATTATTATTATTATTATTATTATTATTATTATTATTATTATTATTATTATTATTATTATTATTATTATTATTATTATTATTATTATTATTACTACAAGGTCTCAGTCAACGAACCAACATAGGAATGAGTTAAGCTCTCCACCAAAAAAATAATAAATGTAAAAAAAAAAAAGTTGAGGTTTGTCTCATTCTTATCAACTTGTCTGCTGTTGTACGAATATTAAATTTGTTTCAATATTTCGTTTTCACCAATTTTGTTTTTTCAAAGAAAAAACAATTTACATAAAAAAATTGCATCCGAACATTATAATATTAAATATAACGTTTGTAGGTTAATATATTATTGACAAAAAAGTTAATTATAAAATATGTTAAAAAAAGTAGTAAAACATTAATAATTATATATTGGGGGTATCATATCAACATATTATATGTGTATCTATCTATATTGTGATTTGGGTTTGGGAGTGTGTTTCGTAATCGAATATTTTTTTTAATTTAAATTTGTTTTAGATATGATGATGAAGCACAAGCTCCCATCATGTTGGACCCTTTAACTCATGTCAACGACAGAAGTGAAAGTGGCAAAAAAACATATACCAAGTGGCAGTTTGACAGAATCTGCCACTTGGTATATGTTTTTTTGTCCCTTGGTCACATAACTTAATTATGGATTTATCCAAGTGGAAAGTTAAATCAAGTGCAATATGATGAGTTGAGTTATTAGAGAAAGTTTAAATTATTACGAAATTAACAAAATTTCAATCAAACGCTTCTATGGCAAACCACTGTTTTTTTTATATAGAGTGAACGTTTGGATCCGCTTTTGAAAAATCGAACCGTATCGAATCGAAAAATATGAAATTTTTTTATCTGAACTATCTAAAATTTTCAAACGGTATTAATTTTAAATAATTATATTCGTTTATTTCAGTTTTTATGTCGATAATAAATATGGTTTATTTAGTTAATATAAAATAATCCAACCATCCATATACATTTATTAGCCAAACTGAATTCAACTAAAAGTTAATTTATTATAATTTATCTATAAAAATAACTCAAAACTGATCCAAACCAAATAAAAATAAGGGGATATCGCCATAAAAACCCTGTAATTTTCATAGGTCAACGAAAAAACTCTATACTTTTTTGTTTACCAATTAAACCCTATACTTGGTATAATTAACCAATAAAACCCCAAACTTGTTAATAATTCACCGAAAACCCCCCGCGGCTGCCAACTCAAACAAAAATGATGATGTGGCAATGACTTGACTTCCAAGTTATGTACACATCATCAAAATTATGACACATCATCATTTCAAACAAAAATAAATTACATAATTTATTTAAATTAATTTATATACATACAAATTCACATATATATATTAAATATAAAATTACTTATAATTAATAAAACATACATATATATATATATATATTATAAATTACATTAAAAATAATATATATATATACATATTATTTGTTAATATATATTGTATATATATTATTTTTTATCTCATTGTTCATAACGTTAAATTTATGATGTTTTAATCAAATGATTAGTAAGATATACAAGGTATGAACATAATGAATTAGTGTGATCATCATAAATTTAACGTTATAATCGATAAAAATCAAAATGTGACCATACTATATTTCGGTCACATTGGTCACATGTGACCAGGGTAGGTCTTGAAGTAGAAGTAGCATTTTAAGGGTATTTTTGATAATGCCCCTATTAGAGCTTCGATTTTTGCTCTAATTTTTTTTTCTTCTCATCAACAATGTTGGTCGAATCTGAAAGCGAATATAAAGATGACAACGATATACTAAATTCAATAGTATCATCGCCTTGAGTATCATTTTAAATTTATTTTGCTCTTTTTTTCTTCTATTTTTTTCCGACGGCGGTGTTCATCACTGTCAACCCTAGTCGATGTGCTACTTTTTTTTTTCTCTAACGACGTTCGTTTTATCGATGTCAACCCTAACCGTTGTGAGCTCTTTAAACATGGCTTTTAGCCTCTTTCGATTGGAAAACTTCGATCGTCGATCCACGTATTTGCGTCGCGCTTTTGCCCCCATTATTTTTTCTTTTCTCCGGCCTAGCCGCTATATACACCGCAGTTTTTTTTGCGCTGCCGTTGTCGTGCAACCCAATTCACGCATACGCGTCGCACTTTCGTGTCATATCAGCCTCTGAAAATACAACTCTCAAACTCTTCAAACATTATCAAACAATACCAACTCAAGTCTGAACTATACCACCACATGGAAGATGATTCGTTTAATACGATCACAATTTCAATTTTCAGTTTTTATATAACAAGATTGAATTCATCATAGATGATTCATCTTGAGGGACATATAAGAAAATATTGTTATTAAAATATTATCATTGATATGATTATGATTTACGCTAGATATTATGCCTAGAATATTCTATTGTATTTTGCTATATATTATGATGTATTCTTCCCATTATCAATAATAGAAAAATATTTTCCCTATTATTATTTGTAACTTATTTTATCACAGATGTACATTAATAAAGTTGAATCTAAATCGCCATTTTTTTAAAATAAGGTTCATACAAAAAATAATCTTGAAGATATCATTCTTGTTTCTTTACACACTGCCGTGATATTATCTAAATGAACGGTAATATATATATATATATATATATATATATATATA